TTTATTCCCTCCCTAACCCTACACTAGCTACTATGAGTTATGACTCTTTTAAGGGGCTTTTTAGTAACTTCACACCACTAAATCCACGTTTTCCGATAACTCAAGAGTCCAACTTTTTTAGGATAAAAAATAGAAGTCGGATTAGATTAGACAAGATTAAATTGGATTGAGTTAGACTAAGTGCTCACATTTTTCGAGTCAAAATGTGGTACTCGAATAAAGTTGGATACGTAAATAATCTAAGACAATATTTGAACGAGAGAGATCTTGAGAATATGATAACTAAGTCCGACTTAAAAAAAATTGAAAGTCACCAACCAACAAAGTGTACCTCCTTTTTAGCGTTGGTCGGTATGGATACTCTTCACTTGTAAGAAGCAAAGAATAGGTAACGTGATCATGTCATAAGGGATAAAAGGAATGTCGATCCTAATCCAAACGGTGAGCATGAATTGTTTACACTGAAGGAAGAAATCTTTTTGGGAATAAATAGTAAAAAATTAAAATAGTGAAGGGAGAGGTGGGAAATGGAATCTAAAAATTTTATATTTGTTTTGTTTTGGCATGTACCTTTAATTTTTGTTTGTTTGATGAGGACGGCAGCTTCATTGGATTGGATATTTGTCCAAAAACAAAACCTTTTTTTAAAAAAGTGAATAAAATCTGGTCTCTCTATAAATGAATGAGAATTCACCCTTCTTTCAACTCCCTAATCCTTCCATTTCCCTTTTAACCCTTTCTCCACCAAGCTCTCATCAATGGAGGATTTTGATTCTCTCTGGACTTATCAACAGGTTCGTCAATCTCTCCCTCTCTCTGATTTCCATTTTCTCTTCTGGGCCTTCCTCTCTTTGCCATTTCCACTCCATTTCTTTGGTCTTTTCTTGTTAACTTCATCCATGGAGGATAGTTTCTGGGCTTTATTTTCTCTCTGTTCTTGTCTATATGTTGCTATTCAAATGCTTTCTTCTGGGCTTTCATGGGTTTCTCTTGTTGGGAGCTGAAAAAACTGAAACGCAAGCGATTTTTGCATTTGGGTCTCAATTGGTTTCTGTAATTTGCTGTTTTTTAAACCCCAATTTCATGAATAAACAGAGGATTCTGGAAATTGGGTGTTCTGAAACAGTGATTTTCCAACAAGGATGTTCATAATTTCTGATAGAGAACAGTTTTGTTTTTGGAATATGTTAAATCATATCAAATAAATAATTCTATCCTGCAATGATTGGACCATGTTCGTCTTGAAACTTGTAGTGAGAATACTTTTTGGCTTTGCACTGCTGAATTGATTCTCCCTTGTAAAAAAACAAACAAAAAACTCTGTTCACTTCCAATGGGAATCTTTGTCTGTTTCGATATTTTGATTCGGTCGAGTTTATGATGTTTTAATCGATTGAGCTATGCTAATAGGGGTTGGATGAGATAAAACAGAAGCTTTTGTGTGCTACAATTGAGCTAGAATCAGCAAAAATGGAGGCAAATCAAGAGATGATGAAGAACAAAGAGAGTGTAAAGAATCTGATGAATCTTCTTCAAATGGCTTACAAAGAAAGAGATGAAGCAAAGAATCAGCTTCAAAAGGTGTTGAATGAATTGATGTTAACATCCCATTTTCAAGCTGAAAGTCCTGTAGGTAAAGCAAATTCCAGCATCACAGAATCCAACAGCCTTTCAGCTGATACATTCAACAACAATCCTCAATCTCAATCTCTCGGCTCGCCCGTTGTTGATTCGTTCTTCGACGCTGTTTCGTCGACTGATTTCTCGAGCTTAAACGTTGGAGATTCGTATAATGTGGATCCATGTGGGTTGGTGATTGAGAACATTGTGAAGGGGAAGAAACTGCCAGAGAAGGGGAGACTGCTGCAGTCTGTGATGGAGGCTGGGCCGTTGCTTCAGACGCTGCTCGTGGCTGGGCCGCTCCCCCAGTGGAGGAATCCGCCCCCGTTGCAGCCGTTCAAGATACCTCCTGTGTTGATGAAAGGAGAGGGTGTTGTGGTGAACAGTCCAAGAATGTGTTCAAGTTCTATGTTGAATTTTTCAGGTGTTCCTTCAGAGTCATGTTGTTTGGATCACAGTGCATTGGTGTCAGGTTCTAATCCCAGTTTTGGGTGTACAAAGAGACAGAGATTGGCGTAAGAATGATACTCATATTGTATTGTAAAAATTAAAGTTGGTTTCATTTGTAAATGAGATGTTAAAGTTTTTGGTATTGGAAATTGAATTGAGATTAGACTTCTCATTTCCTTCTCTTCCCCTCTATAAAAGGATGGTATTACTGTATGTTTTAAATCTTTCGGGTGAACAGAAGGTTATATGTGAGATTATATTGGTGTGATAACTTCTTATGCTTTTTAAAAACCTCTCTTTAGTTGAACTCAATTGAATTGGTCTAACCAAATCAGACTACACCGATCTAACACAACGAGGTTACGTTAGTCTAACCTTCTAATAGAACAATTCGTTGTGCATCGTGTACATGAATAGAGATGTCCATTTTACGTGCCTCAAATAAGGTGAAGATTCTCCATTTAGGTGAGGAATGAGGGTGAGAGTGAGGAATGGTTTTTTCGAGATAAATGGGAATAGGGATGAGATTATATTCTCCATCCTTGTCTCCACCCTGAGTTGCTTAATATAAATATATTTTTAGTATATATTTAAAAAAATAATAATTTAATTTTGAGATGATTTAAATTGAAAATTATGTTGTATGTTTTTTTTTTATGGTTAAAAACTATATTGTAAGATTAAAATTTAAATTTTTAGAATTTATGTCGGTAAAATACTATATATTTATCCTGAAATATATTGATTTATTAGGATTTTTTTCAATTATATCTAAATGAAAATTTTTAATTAATCTTTTAAAAAATAGTAAAAAAAAAAAAAAATCCATAAAAAACATAAAAATAAATAGAGAATTTTGCGAGAACAGAGAATGAAATAGGAGGCGGTGATGACTACGGGGAAGATTTTCTCATCCCGCTTTTCTCGATGGACATCTCTATGCACTTAACCCTAGTATTGCTTGTGTTCCATGCATTTCTTTGATGATGCTCTTCCTCATTCTCAATCGCTTGTGCTACTAACTGCCTAAACCACTAGGTGAGCGATGCGTGCCATGGTGACCTACAAAGAACAACTATGGAAGTGTGGTGACATGGTAAAGTTCACATCTAAGGCACAATTGAATAAAATGTGAACTCAAAGTTCATATCTACTCCACCAAAATGAAAAAATAAAAAAACCAAAGGGACATCGAGCATACCACCGGCCAAGCTACTGTCAAAGGTCGAGTCACGATGGTCAAACAATGAGAAAAGAAAAGATGAAGGATAGAGAAGTCAATGGTAACGAGCACATGCAATTGTGAAAAGTAGTCGATGTGGTGAAGCTGAACTCGAAGCCGAAAGCGACAAAAGCTCTCCTTTTCATCAACATTTAGGAAATTCTAAATGAAGAAGGTTGTGGTTTCCTTTTGAATTAGAAGATAAAATTAAAAAAATTAATCTCCAAAAATTAACCTCCAAATTGAAACTAAAGATTTATTTTAAAATCTCTTTTTCCAAAATTTTATTAAAAATTAATTTTATCTTTACTGAAAATTCTAATTGCCCAAATTACCCAAGAACAGCTAAATTCAATTAATTCACAATTAACCAACCAAAGGAGATTCAAAGCATAAAATAACCTTAAAAAAATAGGGTAATTTTATATGAAGAACGTTGTACGGCATACCTTTAAGAATTTTCGTTCTCGAAAGTTCACTAATCTAACAACTTTGGGAGTAATCAAAGCAAGAGGAAGAAATGAGAAAAATAACGGTAACCTCGAAATAGGGCATCACAAATCTTATCTATTAGCCTAACTATTAGAGATAACATAGAGTTGTTATGAAGCTTATCATCAAATCATCATAGACATGATAATATTTTACCATTTAGCTCGAGCATAGATCGAACGAGCCAATTCAATCAATATAGCACCAACTTCAAGGTAAAACAAGGTAAAATGCAACGGCTTAAACCCACCGCTAGCAAATATTGTTCTTTTTGGGCTTTCCCTCATCCGCTAGAGAGAAGTTTTTACATCTTTATAAAGAATGTTTTGTTCTCCTCCCCAACTAGCGTGGGATCTCACAATCCACCTCCTATTCAGGGCCCAGTGTCTTTGCTTGTTCTCTTCTCCAATCAATGTGGGACCCCCCCAGTCCACCCCCTTCAAGGTCCAGCGTCCTTGCTGGCACATCGCCTCATGTCCACCCCCTTGAGCTCAACCTCCTCGCTAACACATTGCCCGATGTTAGGCTCTAATACTATTTGTAGATATTGTCCTCTTTGACCTTTTCTTTTTGAGCTTCCCCTCAGGATTTTTAAAACATGTCAGCTAGGAAGAGGTTTCCACCCCTTATAAAAAATGTTTCGTTCTACTCTCCAATCCACGTGGAATCTCACCGAAAGTTGGTTATGGGCTTCAAAGCCCAACTCCTTCCCACAGTTACCGGTGACATTTAAAAATGGGAATTTTGTTCCAAGATAAGTCTTGTGAACTTGGTGGTGACAAGAAGGAACTTGACATTTAATAAATGGATGTGCTCGTGAAAGCCCCAGACAAGATGCCAACTCTCAAGCAGGGGATATCTCGTGCAAATAATGAATGACCTATTAGAATGAGACAGAGCGAGAGAGATATTCTAATTGTTGAGAAGATAGGAAGGAAAGTAAATGAGATGATAAGAAAAGCATGAAAGTGGAAATGAAGATTCAAGCTACGCAATCCTTTAATGAGATTGATTAACTTGTAATCAAAACAAAATATGCATGATTAAACACATTATCTTATTAATCCCCTGCCCCACTTCTTATGTGTTCAATTGGCCAGGACTCAAGTATAGCCTAGGTCATAATTGTATATGCGTTAGAGAGAGTGCCACTATTTTTTTCCCCTCCCTTTCTTCATCTCAAAAATTTAAGTCCAAGCAACAACCAATTCTCAAGACACTATAAATGTATTTCAAAAGCACCACAAAAGGTTAAGGAACTATAATCAGGACTTACCTCTGCTTCTGCTTCTACTTCAAGGCACTGGGTCGACGAAAATCCACAAACATGGTTCAAACGCTTACTTTCCTGTTCTATCTCTCTTCATTCTCATTTCTTTCCATCGTCCGAGCTGAAGGCAGAGCACCTCATGGCCTGGTATATGAGAACCCGGTGGCGTTCTCTCCAATGGCGTATGATTTCTTCCATCCAAGAACCCGGAGTCCCAATGCCGAAGACCCATGTGGTGCATCCAAATGCTCCCCTTTGCCCCTTGCAGCTCAACTGCAATCTAATCCTGCACAAGAAAGCAAATACTCCACAACAACTCAGAAAGGTGAGGGGGTTGGTGGGATTCTGGGAATTGTGTTTGGCATCACATTTGCTGTGTTTTTGGCGATGGGGGTGTACTATGTACTACGTACCCGCCTAGCCAACACAAACCGAGCCATGTCTGCAAAACCTGGTGCTTGACATGCTCAAATCCAACATGTTTATGAGCCTAACAAACACTTGGGCACTTCTCTTCCTCGGTTTAGTTTATTACTCCTTTCTTGTTTATTTCTCCAAGATTGATAGCGGCTATGGCTATACATATTTATTATTCTGTTATATATATAGTAGGCTGTTCTATATCTATCGTCTAAATTGTGTTTCCTAAAATTTTCTTCATCCCTCCTCTCCCCCCATGTGTAAAGTTTTTGCTCCTTCTAAGTTTCTGGCTCTAATCCTACTAATAAGGCGCGTTCATGAATGAATCCAAGAAAGAAAAAAAAAAAATCACAACTAGCAATGGGGCCTTCCAGAAATTATGCCAGATGAATAATCAAATGAAGAAAAAGTAAAAGAATTATTGACCATGGCCGCACTAATGTTTGCAACAAGGAAGTCTTAAAAAGTTCTAAAACTCAATATAATGAATTTGGAAACTTTGGCCAACCAAAATGGAACTGTACGTAGAAATGGTGGAAACTTTCCAACAAAAGGTTTTAGGAACCAAGGTTTACGTCAAGAACACATACCAAGCAGATGGTTCATGGTTGCACGATAGAACAAAAGTGTACAAATACAAATGATAGAAGTCATGCATACATTGCCATATCAATGCCAATAAAAACTATGGTAACATTAGGGTCTTCCTGTGAAGTGCGCAACCCCAAAATTCAGATCGTTCAACAAACAACCATATCAGGTGATAGCTGCTGAAGTAGAGAAATAATGGAAACATGTGACCAATAGCCTTTCCTCGTTGAGTCCATCAAAAAACTAGATGAATAGAAGCAAAACCAAGCACGAGGAGCCAATAAGCAACTGGAACAATATGATCAGTAACACAACATGGCTCAACCTCAGTGCTAACTCAATATTAGAACGTCCAGTTGAATTCCGTTGTTTCAATTGCATTAGAATTACATCAATTTACGCAAGAGGATGTATAGTAGAAAATACAATTGTTTGATAATCCAGAATGCTAAAAATACTCATAGCTTTGTTCATATTCATACTCAGCTTTATTGTTTTAAAGGCCTTTATACTCATAGCTTTGTTCCACAGTCATAACATCAATTGTTTGATAATCCAGAATGTTAAAAATACAAAATTTAAAATTCTGTTTCCTTACATGATTCATGCAAGTACATTGATCAAGAAAACATTCTCCACATATCACCATCCCCGTGAACTGAGAGCCTGAATCACAGGTCCAAATGTCTGGTCTACAGCTCTATTCCATAGGTGCGAAATCTCTGGGCCATATTTCTTTGCTAATACAGCTTTTTTCATCTAAAGTCGTTTCAAAGAGGATGCTATTAGATTAATGGGTTAGCTGCTAGATGGAAGCATAAATTCAGAGATGGTAGAACTTGCATTAGGGAATTCTACATTGTTGGTAAGAGAACTTGTGGGCCAAGAACAAAGTTTAGATTAAATAATAATATCAATAATTCCTTCCAAATACATAAACCCTGACAGTCCACATTATTCAATACTCACCACTCCCAGATGGAAAAAATTCAGGTGCCATATAGTTACTTATTCTGAGACGTTTCTTGTTAAAAAAAAAAAAATCCTTATTCTGAGACACTTCTGCTTTGAATTAACAAATATTGTTGAGAACCCAGTTATCAAAACTGTCCAAAGAGTAGCCACTCAGATTTCTACCATCAAAATGCAGCATGCCTAGACATCTAAAATGACAGCAAATAACGAATTTTCTTGATACCCATGGTCCTCCATTGGTCTTTTACAATCTAATCCTTCACAAATGAAGTAAAGAACACATTCTTATACAAAACTTTATATTTTTCTATGACGAATTAAACTCGTGTGTAGAAAAATTGATTTTACAGTATTCAAATAATGTATATTTCAGCTTTATATTAAAAGAAATATTACATACCATAAATTAATTGATATAAAGAAAAACATAAAAATTATACACAAAGCCATGTTTAGATTAAGATCAATGTCAAAAATGTAAAAAAAGAAAAACTACTTACAAATTATTAACCTGAATGACATTATTGAAAATTTTGATAATTTCATTACGCTCTCCCCTTATTCCCAATCATTCAAATATTCACACACATACATTTGATAATTTCATTACATTTTCACAATGTTCAAACACAAGCCATAAAAAGTTAATCATTAGGGTAACAGAAAGGGAAATTTTAAACATACTGGAGATTGGGTGGCTGGCGGATAATTTTCCGAAATGGATCTGTATATGCTTTTCCGCTGCTCAAAAACAACAACCCCGACGAATAGGCTGCCCAGTGCAGCACCAAGAAGTCGCTCCTGCAATTGGATCCAGATTTCCACCAAAAAGGAGAAGAAAATGAGATCAAATTGCACCCAATAAATGGCAAGGAAATCGAATCAGCTCTGGAAGTCCATCGGAGCATGGATGCTTGGTTACCTGAGCAAGAATGGAAATCATGGTAACATAAGCTTCGCCACTAAATTTCGCCGGATAGAGGAAATTTTTGGGACAGATTATCGAGCGAGGCGGGCCGATAGGGCTACTTAGAATGGATCTTCACCCGAATATTGACTCCACAATTCCATTCGTAAATAAAAAGCATAAAATAACATTTTATTTTAGTTCGCCTTTAAATATTTAATTTAAAATTTGAAAATTAGTCGATCCTAATTTTTTTTTATCAAAAATAAATAAATAATAATAATGTTTTCGATGCAAAAAAAAAAAAAAAAAACACCGTATGAATATATGTTGTTGACCTCGTATTGGTGATTACCAGTCTCGACCTTCTCGTATGAATATATGTTGTTGACCTCGTATTGGTGATTACCAGTCTCGACCTTCTCGTGACTAGCCTCCGTGTTCTTGAGGTCAACCTTTACCTTTGATAAGGTCAATTTCGCAATAAAATCTATTATGGTTTGTCATTTTATTGACGTTTTTAGAGTAAACTGCATATCGTATGTTAACCCATCTCGTGGAATGTGATTTTTACGTTGATTCATTATATAACGTCCGAGTAACAAAAAGGTACATGAATAAACCAATCCCACATCTAAATCAAGACAATAAGTTAGAAGGTTTCATATTGGTACGTGGAGATAATTTTCACTCTTAGAAGCAAAGAATAAGTCACGTGACCATGTCATAGGAGAATGTCAGGCCCATCAGATGCTAAATTTAGATTCTAAATCTTGATCCGAATTACGGGTATAAGTCGCTACACTTTAAAATTAAAAAACAATTAAAATTTGCCATTGAAAAATTGAGACAAGAAATGGAAGACAGCCACAACAAAGATGATGAAGTAGGCCATTGAATCCCTACCTTGAATATGAGCTAACTCAAAAGTGTTTGTATTTTCTGTTTCTTTTTATGTACACAACATATGAATAACAAAGAAAATTCAGAAGTGAATCCTAATCTTTCTTCTACTCATATGATGTATTCAATCAATAGCTCTAGAAATTCTCCTTGTGAAAGTGAAACCGAGTCGTCGAACTTAAACTAAATTCTTGGCATAGTTGCTTCAACGTTTGGGTCAGTGTAGCACTTCCACAGTAAAACACACCTGCAAATCCAGACTACGACGCTATTAAATCATTTCTAGATCGAAACGTTTTAAAACTTTAGAAACGGTAACTTCTTACCTATACGCGAAGCCATGTGGTTACTTGCCATCTCCATGAACACCTTCCTCCAGTTTGGTCGAGCAAAATGCGTCCTTATCTGTTTATGTCACATCAAATATTTAATTTATAAAGTTAAATTAATAAAAATATCTATGAATTTTGTATTTTATTTAAAAAATATTATTAAATTTTCAAAAGTTTAAATAATATACTAAAGTTTTAAAATATCTTTAAATTTAACTCTTAATAACTTAAGTTTGATTTAGTATTTAGTCATAGATTTGATTTGTTTTCGATGTCTTGTAACTCTATATAATAGCCAAACCAATTTCATTATTCAATAGAAGGTATGATTTCTCCTAATTTGTGATCTTTCTAGTTTTCTCTTCTTTGGTATCAAAGCTATGCCCTAAACTTAGCCATGACAACTATCTCTGTTACTAACATTTGGTATTAGAGTCATGCTCTAAAGTTAGCCATGACAATAGAATCCTCAAATATAACAAAGATTGTGAGCCTCAAAATTGTAGTAAAAAAGTGACTAAAGTGTCGAACAAAGGGTGTACTTTGTTAAGAATCACGACTCTCCTTATAGTGTCCTTTGTTCAAGTAGAGGATTGTTGAAAATTATTGGGAGTGAGTCCTACGTTACCTAATTTAAGTCATGATCACGAGTTTATAAGTAAATGAATACATCTCCATGACTTGAGAGCTTTTGGGAAGCCCAGCTTATGCTCAAAGTGGACAATATCATACCATTAAGGAGAGTCAAGGAGAGTCGTGATTCTTAACAAATACTTTATTTCAAAATATCAATAAACCTTTCGAAAGAACGTCAACCCGACTTTCGAAAGAATAGCTTTAGGGGACGAAGATAGTAATACCCGACTTTCGGAGAGAACATCAACTCCATTCCTAGCATGTTGAAGCTTTTGCACCATGGTTATAAGCGCAGACCTCACATCTCCTTCCTCATAAACACTTGTCAAGTAATTATGCATTTCTATTACTTGCTGCAAAATCCCATGAAACAATCTCATTCAGTTCAAAAAATTATATGAACTTAATAATGAATCAAGAACAACAAGACTTTCCAACTCACATTACGATCATACTCAGAGATATCATCCATAACGCCTTTGAACCACTCGAATGAGCCTTGTTCCCTCGTTATCCAATAGAAATATGTTCTTTCAGGCCCGCACCTACCGCTGCCTACAGAGAGTTCGTGTACTGGTTCCTACAAAACATGAATGATTTGGGCTCTATGTTTAATGTTTTATAGGTATGATAAGTGGTTTTGAAGGCTTATGGTGTTGTTAAACTCACATCGTAATTGTGATTTGGCTTCATGGAATTTAGAACATCTTTTATAATGCTGATCATTGGAGTTGCGCCAATGCCAAGGCCAATGAGTAAGAGGATGTCGTATTTTTTGTAATCTTGTGCTGGAGCTCCATATGGGCCTTTGATTAGAATTCTTGGGTATCTGGAGATTGAAATGGTTGATGGGTTGAAGTAAGGGTGAGTATGAATTGATGAGCAATGGGTATCAACTGTGCTTACCTTTGCTGTGAATAGCCGTTGTCATCATATGCTTTTGTTTCCAATCTAACGAGATTTCCCTTTCTTGCTCTTGTGTTTTCAAGCTCACAGACCTGCCATTTTCTTGTTTAGTGAGGTTGAATAACACAGTTTTGTAGTTTGTGGAGGGTTTTGTGAAGTGGGTTTTGTGTTGTTTTGTAGAGTGGGGTTGGATAATGGGATTCTCTGCTAGAGAGGTGATTATGTGAAATCCCACGTGTTGGGGGAAGGGAATGAAATATTCTTTATAAGAGTGTGAAAACATCTCTCTATCAGAAGCGTTTTAAAAACATTGAGGGGAAGTTTGAAAGGGAAAGCCTAAAGAGAACAATTTCTACTAGTTGTAGGCTTGGGCAATACAAATGGTATTAGAGACGGGCATCGGGTGGTGTGCCAGTAAGGACGTTGGGCCCTGTAGGGGGTGGATTGTGAGATCCCACATCGATCGAAGAAAGGAATGAGTGTCAGTGAGGACGCTAGGCCCCAAGGAGAGGTGGATTGTGAGATTCCACGTCGGTTGAAGAGGGGAACAAAACATTATTTATAAGGGTGTGGACACCTCTCCCTAGCATACGTGTTTTAAAAACATTGAGGGGATGCCTAAAAGGAAAAGCCCAAAGAGAACAATATTTGTTAGCGGTGGGCTTGTGTTGTTACAAATGGTATCAGATCCAGACACTAGGTGGTGTGTCAGCAAGGACGTTGGGTCCTAAAAGAGAGTGGATTGTGAGATCCCACATTGATTGGAGAGAAAGAGTGCCAGCGAGGACGCTAGGCCCTGAAAAGGGGTGGATTGTGAGATCACACATCGATTGGAGAGGGGAACGAAACATTCCTTATAAGGGTGTGAGAACCTCTCCTTAACAAATGTGTTTTAAAAACTTGAGAGAAAGCCCAAAAAAGACAATATTTGCTAACGATTGGCTTGGATTATTACATATGGTAACAGAGCCAACCATTGGGCGGTGCACTAGCAAGGACGCTGGTCTCGAAGAGGATGGATTGTGAGATCCCACGTCAATGGGAGAGAGGAATGAGTGCTAGCAAGGACGTTGGGCTTCGAAGGGGGGTGGATTGTGAGATCCCACATCAGTTGAGAGGCGGGAACAAACTATTCTTTATAAGGGTGTGAAAACCTCTCCCTAGCAGACGTGTTTTAAAAACCTTGAGAGGTATCCCAAAAAGGACAATATCTGCTAGTGGTAGGCTGGAATGTTACCGGTTCTTGTAAGTTTGTTTTTAAAACGACAAGTTGTTGTTCCTGTATCATAGGATTCTACAGTTTATAAGGAGCAAATCACCTGTGCAAACCTGTTATGAAGCTCAGCAGTCCAGTCTCCAAGTGTTCTAATATGGCAACTTAAGTAATCATCTCCTGGTGCAGAAGTGATAGTGAAGGGATGCCTGAAACAAATGAGAGAGCCTAAAGCTTGAAGTTCTTAGCCAAATCAAAGCTGCAAGTTGCATATATGTACAGTAAAGATTAGATTATTACCACTCAAAACTTGATATATCTGGACACTTGACAAAGAAATACATCCCACTTTTATATCTAAATCCTTGGGGTTTCGTCATGTAAATGGCAAGAACATTCCCTGTATATATCACTGCCTGGAACATTTGAAAACCCCATCATAAGCTTCATTTTCACATGGATATGTTCACATACACAGACAGACAGACAGACAAAGATTTACCTTAATAACATCGACGTTATGCTTCAGCTCATTCACTGATGCTAGAAGTCTCTCACTCGCATACAGAGACATTGGGAATACTAAATACATCCATGTCTACAAGCATTATGATAAAAGTTTAGAACAATATCTGCTAGCGGTGGACGTTACAAGTAATACTTACCGTCTTCTTGTACCATTCCCGGGCTAAGAACAGATAGTAGCCATGGATTATGCAGAGGATATAGGCCACAGCAAGCAAATGATGAGAATACCAAAAGGCATTGAAGCCAGCCAAATGGTGGAAAGGCCAAGGCAATTTAATAACATTCCTTCTGAATCTGTGGGTGGCCAAAATGTATGAAAAGATCATTATAATCAATATCAAAACCCCAGTAACCCCAGGTGTGCTTCTCACCAAATCTCTATAACTAGGCTGATGAAAGTTGAAATTAGGCCCAACATGTTTCATAAATTCGGCTCTTGGGCATGAAATTAGCCTTGGAAAATCACAGGATATGTGCATGAACACATGAAGAAAAGTCCCAATCACTATGCCAAATGCAATTGTCTTGTGGAAGTTTATATTGTCATCAAAAGGGAAGATTTTGCTTAGTGATGTGGACCTAAGTGTTGTGAGTGTACTCCTACAAACTGGCAATAAAATTAAAGCCATATTGAACTTGAGTGTCTCAGCTCCACCCTTTGCAACACAAAGACAATACCCCATGATTTTGAATGCCTTTGTTTGCTGGTATTGATTAAACTTCCAAACGAATAACGCGACGTTTATCGATATCCATAATACCATGACCCATATCCTCTTCCAATTGTCGTGGATGAACTCGGTCGTTCTCGACATCGCTCGACTCATCGGAGTTCTGTATTGTCTAGGAATCATGGCTCTTGTAAGAGTGGTAGTTTTCTTAGCTATGTTCTTGGTGTTGTCTTGATCAAACACCATAACTTCCCTTAATAGAGTTTCAAGTTGTGAGAGCTGAAAATACAGAGGATGATATGAAAAGGGTATGATTATTGTAAGTTTGAATAAGAAGAAGAAGAAGCCTTTTACCTCTATGTATCCAAGATGGTCAGGATCAAGCTCCTCCATGATCATAGATGCATAGTAAGCTGCTTGCTTTTTGAGATTGCCTAGCTTGTTGGCTGAGGCACTCAAAATGATCACCTCCTTTACTTCCCCCTCTGAAAGCTTCCCATCACCATTTTTGTCACACCTGAAGAACTATCTCAAAAGTTAATGATTGAAAGAGTTTGGCAACAAAAACAGAATCAAGAACTGGTTGGCTTACATTTCAAAGAATATTTGTAGGCGAAAATCCATATCTTGGCTTGTTATGTCTTCCCAAAAGCCCTGTAATTCTTCAATTGTAATGCCATTTTGAGGACAGAGTTTTCTTCTCCTCACCAATGCGTCGAACAATTCGCCTGCAAAGTCCTTTGAATCTCCGCCCATTCCTGCAAATAAAGAGTCATGGTACGAAGGCAATTAAGAAAAGGAATGGTATGAAGATGTTACCAATGCAGGCTCCAAATTTGTCTCTGAAAAGCCTGTCGTTGATAGCATGTTGGTGGAATCGGCCCTCAATTGCCCTCCAAGCATCAGCTTCCTTGCCAGTGACAGAGCGATCTAGAAACCTCAAGCTCTTAAGCCCTCGTTCGGCTTTGGATTTCCTTCTCCCAAGCCTAATAGCAGGCCTGGAAATCCCCTCTTCTTCACTCCTTTTGAAGCTTCCATTTCTTTCACCGCTCTCGATCATGCCCACTTCCACCATTGCATCAGTTTCCACAGGATCCAGAATCCATCTCGTTGGGTCCTCACCCATCTCGTTGTTGTTGTTCATGTTCTCCATTCCGGGCGATCGAAGGCTTTCTTGGATTTGGATCCTTCCTTGTTTTTTTTTTTTCTTTGTTCTTAGATGGATGATTGGGAATGAAGAGAGGGAAGAAGTGGTGATTGAAAGTTCGTTTATTTCGTTGCCTCTCTTATATATAGAAACCTATTGTAATTTCTTTTTGTGGAAGTACAATCTTTCCGTACATTTCGCCGCTACTTTTGTTTGGGTCCTAAAATTTTCAACACAATCCACTCTTATAAATTATAAAATTAAAAATTAATTTATCCCCTCATTTATTCAAATTTTTGTTTTTTTGAATGAAAGTGAAATATTCGTTTATTTTTAAACATTTAATTAAAATTTACAAACTCAATTTTAAAAGAATAATAATATAACAACCTGAATAAAATTAATAACAAATCCAGATCCAAACACGGACCACAGACAATCAGTTGTAACCCAAAAAATAGAAAAGATCGGAATCAAAATACCAAAAGAAATTAAATTGCAACTTTTTGTATCACAAAAAATATAATGAGACCATCATGTGCATGAAAAGCAAAGGTCCGGAGATAACTAGCTTCATTTATACACGATTGTCAATATGAATGTGAATAGTGAAAACCGTTTCCTTCAGGTGTTGCCTACTAAGCTCCCCCTCTTCGTGTAGTTCGAATTATCCTTTCTCAATCAGTCTTATACGAAGATTATTCCGTTTTAACACTCTGACCATTCACCACCATAAGAATGCAAAGAACTCCCCATAAGAAGGAAGGCTGTTCTTGTCTCACCTATAAACACTCCATGGCATTGCTTATTAAATCATGGAGTTTAAATAATTTAAATATATGGTATAATGGCTACATTAATGCCTATAATTATGTTATCCTATTAATTTGTGCTCATTTTAGTTTTTGCTATTTTTAATTCAGTCTTTTGTAACGTTTCATTCTTTAAATAAAATTAAATGTGGATTCCTTGATCCACAAGGCATCTCTCATAGGAGGTGTTTTTCTTCTCCTCCCTTAAGCGAGCCTTCACATTAAGGCAAGCAAGAGGGGTACACCATCCAAAAAAGGAAAGTTAAACAAAGCAAAAGCAAAAGACAATTTAAGAGAAGCATATCTTGAAATTTGGACCATTCAAAGTGGACAAAACGACAATCACCAGCAGTAGCGTTAGATCAACAAGTTTTCAGATATCATATCCAGATGAAGCTCCAAGACTTGTGCACAAAAAAACATCAGATTCAGTGTTGCCATCTTTTCAAGCTCAACCAACCTCACACAAAAACAAAAACTCACCAATAAAAGGATCTCATCCTTACACTAAATGCAAACCAAACACGAACAAGGACAACAATCAACTAAGCTAAGCTAATTCAAGTGGAATAATAATGGATTCAGCAAGGACGTGAAAATAGTAGTGATTATATTGGCAGAAAACCTGCCTCCAAAAGGTATAACTCTTTCATTTTCTTCTAAAAATGAAAAGACGCAAAGAAAAAATTAACGAATGCCCTGAGAAAAAACATATATGAGCCTTTATATTTACATCCAAATTCAGTCTCTTCTCTATTATGTATGTTGTTTTAAACTGAAACTCTGCTTAATTTATTGCAGTTAGAGGAACTCTAGAATCTCTTACTGATTGTGCTGCTTCGTGTGCTCCTGCTAAATGTTTTACATCTCCATTTGATTGCTTTGAATATTTCAAATCCCAAAATGACTTCAGAAGCTCATCGAAAGCTGGCGTTCTAAGTTCTTCGATGGATGTCATGCTTGGCAAGTTGAACGATCGCTTTCTTGGTGTCGAACAAGATGGTTCATCAACCTGTTGAGTAATTAAAATGGCAGAGGAATCATCAGTCAATATGATTTTAGTAACTAACTTAAATTACTATAAGTGAATATATGATGCGTTTATCTATCTACCGTGTATTCTGTCAGTAGACATGTTCCTGCATGATCAGTGATTTCGACTATCTTGTGGTAATGGCCACCTTTCAAATCTCTTAACTCCTCACAACAAGGATTAATCATTGAATTCAGATTTCCACACGCTTCGTTGTCGAGTTCTAACGAATCTGCACAAACCACAAAATTCATATGTTTATATGTTTCTTTTAGATGTTATTATGCAATGAAGAATGCAGGATACTAACGATCAACAGATGAGAGGAGATTCTTGTTTGCATTATCAACATCTTCAAGAGCAGCGGATGCAGCCGAAGAAAACCGAGCAAGTAGCGCTTGATTGGATTCCATCCCATCCCTGATGGAAATAAGAAAGTAATGACTGATCTTGAACAGATTATAACATTTATTTCTTAATATCAAAAGATAAGTGTGTACCGAAAAATGGAATCCACAGAAGCAACACTGTTGTTTTCTAAACTGAGCAAGGATTCCTGAGCAGTTCTCCATTGTTGTGCACCCATTTTTGCCTTGTTCAAGCTAAACAGTTTTATATAATACCCTGTTAACTGGAGGGGCTAACCAAAAAAAGGTATTCGCAGGTGAAATTAGTTAGCTGAGTTAGGATGATACCAATTTTGAAGAACTTCTTCCATGTCTCTCTTCCCGTCTTCAACAACAGAAGTATTTTCGTGGTAGTGTGACTCTGTTTTCTCCAGGTGCAATGTCCATTCAGTTTTCACTGAAGAAGTACACTCCTGCATGGTGGACATTTCCTTCTGTAGCAAGTTGGTTCTACTTGTTGCACTCTCCCGCAGGTCAGTAATTGCTGTTTGAACCTAAGGAAATGAACAGTTAACCTTTAGACGCTAAAAAAATTGTGTCTAATCTCCTCAGGAACAAGGTAAGGAAATACCAATTGTTTCTTTCTCGCATTTGAACTTGCTAGCAACTCTGCCACTTTAGCCAACAGTTGTTTTTCTTCATTGGCAGCACACTCCTGCAGATTTCAAATGAACTTTGAGCTCAATACAAGACTCCAGTAACTAATAAATCAACCAAGTTTTTGTAATCTGCAAGTACCTCAAATTTCTTTTCAAGTTCAGACAATTTTTGCTCGTTGACTGATTGAGCATCTTCCACAATGTGGGTAAGTTTCGACGCATGCATATCCAGAGTCTTTATGAAGTTTGAGGTAATTTTAGAAACTGAGCGTGTGGTTTCCACTGCTCTAGCATGTGCCTATATCAACGTCCAACAACAAGTCAAGCAATTTATGAATTATCGTTAAGATTGTTGACATAAAAAAGTTGTATTGATCAAAAACCTGATGCTGCTTTTGAGCATATGCAGTCAGCTTCTCTTCCTGCTTGTGAAGGCTATTTTGAAGATCACTGAGCAACGCCTCAGCTTCCGAAGCAACACCATTGAAAAGCTAAATCAACCAAAATTCAGCACAACCAGAAGAGATAAAAAGAAAGTTCGTCGACCAAAAAGATTGTGATCAATTGCTTACGAGTTCAAGTGCAGATGAATGCTTTGAAACTTCAGAATTTATATCACCAAAGGTTGATTGAAAGTTTCCTTCAAGCTCTTCAGTTATACTGTTCAGAGCTTTAACTCGAGAACCATACGTTATTTTCAGATTTCCAATCCGTTCTCTAAGTTCTTCGGTAGCCTTCACAAGCAGAATGAAAATTATAGGAGAATGAAAATCTCAGCTTAAAAAAGAGTTCTTAGTTAAACCTTACCTTAGTCTTTGTTAAAACAAAAGATTGCATATCTTCCTCCATGTCCCTTAGTTGCTGCTCTTGTTGGGTAACTGAAGTAGCTACAGTTTTATGCAATAACTCCAGCTGCTGAGTTAATTGAGATTGGAATTTCTGGACAAGTAATTTGTTTCTATCTTCAATTTTGTCCTTGCGCTCTGGATAGAACAGATGATGATCATCATAATCAATAGTTCTGGATAGAATTATATGAGAAAAAGAAAGGTAAGCTTCAAAGACACAATAACTAACCAATTTTGTCAAATAAACCCGACACATCTGCTGCGGCATTTTCTAGCTCTGATCGCAGCTCTAATGCACGCTCAATAAGTGCTTTCTCTGTAGGGATTGACGAAGCACAACAGTCAGAAATTTGTGTGGAAGCAAAATACACAAATGGAAAATATAAAGTCAGAATGAGGGGATAAGAAGTCCAAAGTTTACAAAGCAAATAAAAAATTATACATAGAAAAAACTGCTAAAGGTCAGATGAAACATTTCTTACCAGACTTGAGAAGATTGATTATCAGAAATTCCTTTTCTTTAATTGTTGCATTTGCTTGGCGGTGTTTCTCCTCCAGATCAAAGAAAGCATGTTCAGTTTCTTCAAGCCTTTTCTGGAGTTACATACAACAACAGCTGTTAGTACCTTTTTCCAAAGATGAGTAGAAAAGGTGAGGAACATTGTCCTACTGAACAATTATATGATATACCTCTGTTCTATCTAATTTATCGCTTAATTCTTCTGACAAAAGTTGCTGAGAATCATAAAGCTCCTGAAGCTCCATTAATTGCTGCTCATAAGTAGAAGAGAAACTATTAGAATTCAAAATAAGCCATATGAAAGGAACCTTCTGATATAAAATCTAGCTGTCTGCCCACACACCTTGTCCTTGGATTCTGAATCAAGTTCCATTCGTTCTATTTTTTCAGCCATTGCCTGGAGTTGAAAATTATGAATATGATTTGATTAATATTAAATAACACAGCAAATCTTTTTAACTAAAATCCTAAATAGTCCAAAATTAACCTTCTTCTCAGCTTCCTCATTAAGGTAACGATCACGTGGTATGTAGATTCCATTCTTCTCCCTTGCAGCATATACCTCTAGTATATAGAAGAGTATAGATTATGCTCAGATACTAAACGTCGAACAAAGGGAAAAAAACTGATGTTTTTTTCAACCATGAGAGGGAAAAAACATCATGAGAGAGAGAGAGAGTAGAGAAAGAGCTATGAGAAGTAAATACCTTGTTTAAGGCGATCAATTTCAGAATATAAATCCTTGATCAATGCAGATTTCATCATTTTCTGGTTAATC